TTTCTATCTCTTAGCATTTGCTTGGTGGTGGGTACCTAGAACCTGCTTCTTTCTGCGCACAGAAAGCTGCAGTGTGGCACTCCTGTTTAAGAGGTGAAGGGAGAAAATTAAACTTTACCCATCCTTCCTTACGCCAGCTTAAATGATAGGCCACATTTAGCAAGTATCCAATTTGCCCTTGGAAGACCAATCTTGAGTTATTTGCATATCCAGAATTAACAAAAGGAGTGCAGGACGACTGAGGACTTCACATTAAAACTAGTGCTAACAGCATGAAGGCCTATCTGCTTCTGAGTCTGTGTATTAGGCATGTACTGTTTGTAATAAATACGATTTTTTGGTAACCAGACAAGAGAAGAAAGTCTGGATGGGCCTGAAGGGTCAACTGTGGCATCTCAGAGATTAGAGCACCGTGTAGCACAGGGACTTAAACCGTTTTCACGATAACCTCAGTCATTCAAGAGCTGATGGTACAATGAATCTCTGAAAACTTGGGACTTAGTAACACATGTGCTTGCACCAGTACAGAACTGAGTGAAACCTCTATCCTTGGAGGTTTCAAGGCCTGGCTGTGCAGTGCCACAGCTGACCTGACCTCTGTTGGCAGTCCAGCTCCAAGCAAGAGGGTGGACTAGAGACCTCCAGAGGTCCCCTCCAACCAGCACTCCTGTGATGGTGTGGTTCTGTGAAACGCTGGTCGCTGGTCTGTAGTCCTGTGCTTTCAGGTAGTGCCAAATCTGTTACGACATGGAAGAACACCTGACTCCGTACACTGTGCCGCTGAGCAAACCATTGGTTTTGTGTCTGGGAGCTACTGTTTGACGAGAGAGATAAATCCCTTCATTGCTGCCACAGAAATCCCCCTGAGGCCATCCTGATTCTGGAAATACCAGAAGAAATGTTAGGAATGTTTTTCATGACACATAGGCCCAGCGTGGGCGGAAGCACGGTTGTAGTGGGATTCCAGAGCTAAAGAGGCTTCATATTTGGTGTCTCTGTACAGGACTTAGGCCTGTCTTGGGACCACTGTTGAGGAAGAGCAGAAATAGCAAATTGCTGATTCCCGAAGGACTTTAAAGACCTATTGGATATTGAACTGAATATCGCTGAGGATGGTCTACAATGTCACACCATATTCTAGAGGAGGGGGCGTACAGATGCACTGACAGTTTCGGAAGAATGTGGAAACTACTGTGGCATCACTGAGAAGTAGAAAAGCTCCCAGATCACACAGTTTGCCCACAGTGCTCTGTAAATGAGGGTGCCAAATCCTGCGTGAGATTTACATCAGGTCTTTGGCTGAATACGGAAGGAGAGAGTGGTTCTGCCGTATCACCAGGCTCCTGAAAAGGCCACGTGTGGCAGACTGTACCCCAGAAGGTCTCCTCCCAACACAGTTAACAGGATTATAGCCGGATCCTGAGCAGCTGTTTGTTCAAAGCTGTTAGTTCAGACAAGGAGTGGATGGATGAGTGATGCGCATTTGCTCACAGTGCCGTGTAAATGAGGTACAGTAGGAGCACAGACGAGTGAGAAGGCTCAGTGCAGCACGCATCCTCCTGCATTTCAGCACAGTTGTGTAAAAATGGCTGGATGCTCTGGCATTACTTTCATGTGTTTCTGGCTTGTTGAAATTATGTCTTGATGAGCGCATAAAGTTAGAGCAGACAGTAAAATCTGAAATGTTCCCTCTAGTTCTTTATTTAAATTAGGTTTTCAGTTA